ACCTTGGAGTTCCCCCGGAGGAGCTGGAAGAAGTGGCTGGGGAGAGGGAGGTCTGGGCCTCCCTTCTGAAGCTGCTGCCCCCGCGACCCGACTACGAATAGGCGGAAGAAAATGGATGGATGGATGGATTATACCAATAAATTTATCAATGTTTGTACAGCTATTGAACCAATTTTAACATTTTTTCTCTAATCCTCACATGGGCTGCTATTTATCAAAGAGTAAAGATTTTCTAAATAGAAAAAAATGTTAATAAAGAGGGTTGATTCTGGCAGCAAAAGAAACAAGTCGACTTCATTTGTATGAACAGTTTTCTTTAGCTAATTCATTTCATCTGCTTCTGCTGTGATAATCTACAGTATCACACTTTCATGCCAATTAGGCATCCTCAAAACTAAACTGAAAAAAAAATCCCTTAGAGCAGCAGTTTTGCTAATAAAGAGTGATCCGCTCTGCTAATAAAAGTGCATTTCAAGAAAAAAAAAACAATCACAGAAAATTAATCCCTGAGGGGAAATTTGGCGAGTGTTTGACACAAGCGAGACAATATTCAGCACATTCTTTATACACATGCTTCGATTCACGGCAGTGCTTGCGCAGACGCACACACTGAAGTTTGGACTTCTTTCTTGTGTCTGGCGTTGTTTACCCTGGGGCCTTGTTATGTGAAGAGTCAGATCAAAGCTGCAGTGTTGCTCCGAGCCAGAGGAAGAAGTGAGGAGAAGGAGATACAAAGAGACAGACAGAGCCAACATCCTGAAATGACTCCTGCAACTTCTGCTTTTGCTCTAATTATCTCCTCAGTCAGTGCCACAAGAACACAGATTTGCTTTCGTACTGAGTTTTTGTTTCACATCACTGCCTTGTTGCATTATTTTACACAAGGAAACAAACATATTTGCATGAAGACATTGATTTCTTACGTTGTGCATCACCTCTTGATCCTGTGTAACTTCAACCCTCTCCTTCACCTCCCCTCCTGCATCCTCGCTGAGTGTTCTTTTCCTGTTGCCCTTTACGAAGAACAAGCCAACAGCGCTGACGTACTTCCATGTCGCACTGGGCGATCTGTGCTCTCCAAACAAACATGCTGTGGCTGAGACAGAAGAAAACTCAAAAACAAAATAAATAAATAAATAAATACATAAATAAATATTTGAAAAAAGAATAAGAAGTGCTACCAGGGAGGAATTGTTTGAAATTAAGAAACATCAAAGCAACAAAACTTCCTGATAGCGGTTTGAGTTATCGTGCTGCATGTTCCAGTGCTGCCCACACACAAGATACAGATGTTGAGGTAAACAAAAGGCATAAACGAGGCTTAAAAGTGGTGGGGTTAGGAAACATTATGAACAATAAACATCTTATCTGCTGTAGATATATTTTTGAACAGCTTCGGTTCACAAAATCAGAGTTTCAGTTTGACTTTTTTATGTTTTTTTCTGTGAAAGATATTTTACGAACCTTTGCATTGCCATAGGTTTGGCATCCAAAGGTTTGTCAGAAAGGAATATTATGATGTTCCTGTCAGAAGTGACCCCATATAGGATCTGTGTTTGTTTCTTTTCTGTGCTTTGATACTTGTTGTTGGGGCTAGGAGAATTTTGGTATCGATCCGATACCAAGTTAAAACAGGGCTAGTATCATTGATTCTGATTCCGATACTGATACCGATACTTATGTTCATTGAATAATTATGTATAATAAATAAATAAATATAACAATTTCAATGACACAACAAAAATAACTCCCATTGCATGTGAGCATGATGAAGAGGACTAATGACTTATGCAAAACAGTTTGGAGACTCTGCACAACTCTTTCACAAATAAAATAATAATAAAGTCAGGAGTGAAAATAAAGTGTAAACAAAAAAATAGATGAATTTGACTCTGACTCTTTTATGGTCGTATCCAATACAGATACTTATCTTGGTATCAATAGTATCGATACTTGGATCAGTACACTCCTTTTTGAGGCTGTCACAACAAAAAGTAAAGGAACAGAGGACTGCATTCTCCTGTCTCTGCTCCAGTCCCTCCTACTCTCACCTGTTCACATTTGCCTTCCTCACAGGTGTCGGCGATTTACGTTCATTAAGGTTCCTTTATTTTCTGTGTCTTTCTGCTGGGTTATTGTCGGTTCATTGTGCTTCCAGCAGCCAGTTTGGTTTGTTTTTCATCATGGTTGTTTTTCCTAGAGTTTTCCTCTTAAGTATGTTTCTGTTGCTACATCAGCAGCCAGGGATGTTGACATCTCGTCAGCAGCTGCTCTGCTACCATTTTCTTCCCAAACTGCTGTGACCAGATTGTGCAACGCTGCTCTGTGTGTTTGCTTGTTATTTTCTCCTGCTTCTTTATTTCTATGAATTTCAACAAACCGTGCTGACGTCAGGTAGTTCGCTACGGCCTCGTCTTTGAGTTTTTAATTTCTGTCAATGCAGTTTGAAGAGACACTTTTTTGAAAGTAGGATCACCTGCGTTTTGACCACTTGAAGAGGTAAGCTGACATGAAGAACATTATTTTATCTGCCTTTGTTCCAAATTTGATAATGATTTGCAATGCTGAAGTATGTTTTTGTTACATTATTTTTGCTTCAGACTAGCACATGCTAGCAAAGTGTGTTGACGCTCGTCTTCGTCACTTGACACATTTCACACGCTGTCATTAGTTGAGGAGCTTTGTTTACTAAACAAACATCTACATGGTTTTTAAATGGTTTTCATTTCCTTGCTTTCTAAGACACATTAAGTTGATCTGATGCTGCAGTTTTCTGAGATGAGCCTTGCAATACTATTTTATACCTTTTCTGCAACGTTTGCATTGGATATTATAATTTTACAGTAGTTTTTTATAGATTATATACAGCGGGTAAAAGTATTGAACACGTCAACATTTTTCTCAGTAAATATATTACTAGAGGTGCTAATGACATGAAATTTTCACCAGATGTCGGT